TTATTACTAAACACATTTTAATTTAAGGTAAAATACAAAACTAGTTACCTTGATTGAAACGTAAGTCTGGTTTTATGCAGAGCATAATTGTATTTTTCTTTATTTTGCTTACTTGTTAATTTATACAACCTAAATTTGAAATGGAAATAAAAAATTTTGTTGTTTTAGAAGAGGGTCTTAGTTTACATCAAGACGTATATGAGAGCATAAAGTTGCGTTTTCTTGATATGCTGTGGATGGGTGAAATTTGTTGGCTTGTTGTTTATTAAATATTTATTTGATTGCTCCGTCCAAATGAAAGAGAAAATCACCATCCTTGCATAATCTCATTCTTTTCGTTAATCGAGGTCAATATTATTCTTCAATCATGACAAAGTCTTAAATCTTAATACAACAAGGGGTTGTTTGGTTCATTTCCATAAAATTATGGAAATGAATTCTCTGACAATAAGTTAAATTTAACAAAATTTTAGGATATCTAAGTAATCCAAAACTTATGTTTGATATGGAATGATAAAGTAAAGAATAGGAAAGCATATCCAAAACTCAAATTTGTTTCATTTCCAAATAATAAGAAAAGTTGTGAGAGGAAATAATGAGTTGTCAACAGGTTGTTAGCTTTCTAGCCCATTTCCTAACCAAAAGATAGGGAATGTGTTGTCCAAAAAAATTCACTGTTTAGAGGCTTTTTAAAAATTATTTTCTTGAAAAAAAAAATTGAGACAAACCAAACTTTTAGAATCCTAAAATGACAAAAAACTACTTTTTGTTTCAAATCCTAAAAAACACATTGTTTCCTACAATTTAGGGTAAACCAAACACGCCCAAGAGAGGGACTGTTTGTTTGCTAAAAATTTGAGAAAACCCCCCGTCACGTCAGATTTCAAGAAATTCCCTCTGTCACGTAGAATTTTGGTTTCAACTGATTTTCAAATCACATGTTTGTTTCGTTTTGTGATTTAAAGAAATGAGGGTGCCACGTAGGATTTTTGAGAAAAGTATTTTCACGCCAAAAACCTCTGAAAACACTTGAAAATGTCACTTCAATGAATTTTTAATTACCAAAAGCACTGTTGAAACAATGACTGTTAATAAAACAGATTATTTAATTGCTGAAAATACTGTTACTATTGCGGCTGATTTCCATTTCTTTTTTTATGTTCAAACAAACACAAGAAATGAAAATTGAAACACTGTTACTATTGCGGTTGGATTTGTTTCTTATGTGACGTGAAGGTGATGTGACGGTGATTTCATTGCGAAACAAAAAAAAAATGCGGATAATGTCTTGAAATCTCCTAAAATGAGTTGAAATGTGAGTTTTTCATTTCCGATTTTTTTCGTAAAACAACCAAACAGCCCCTTATATCCAATTGCATACTAAATACAAATTTTGAACCTCATCAATTCTTGAATGGGATGTCAACCATCAACGTCAACTTTAATTTTTCTAGAACCTAAAAGGAAATTTAAATAAATAAATGGAAAAAATCATTAAGTATTGAAAAGAATTGCTACCAGGATTACAATTAATGTCATCGAACTCCATTTCAGTTTCTACAACTCTGTTACCATATACGGCAGTAATTGTATTTTATTAATTCAATTTTATAATTTTACAATTTGTAAATACAATTGTAGTTGCATAGGCTTATTTTCGAATATCAAGTTCTTTTGACTACCATTAGGAATTGATCCCAACTAGCGTTAGAATTTACGCTTCTGCTGATCAAAAGGTTGCAAATGCGGCTTGCACCCATATCTATGCAACTTGCCATCAACAGTATTCAGCCCTTCTGAAGGAGTAAATTGCAGATAGACCCAATGTGTTATTGTTAAATTGAATTTAGGGAAAAATGCTTCTAGCCCTCAAAAGCCAAGTGAACGTGCTTCCCACCCCCCAAGACTTGGTCAATGGGCGTTTTACCCCTAAAAATAAAGAATCTGTTCTCTGAGCCCCCAAAACATAAAACCCAAGACAATAAAACATGTGAAGATCATAATACCCTTCTCTCTCTCTTTCTTTTTCTATTATAATATGATGAGGGTTTTTTATTATTTTTGTTTCTCTCTCTCTCTTTATCATGATGTACCAAGAGGATAGTTGAAATGATTAATGGGGATTATTTTATTATTTTCGTTTTTTATTATTTTCGTTGTTTGTATTGGGAGGTTGTTAAAGTTACGGGTTAATTGTTAACGTTACGAGTTAATTGTTAATGTTACGGGTCAATTGTTAAGGTTATGAATCCTCTCTCTCTTTCTTTCTTTTTTATTAAAATATGATGAGGGTTATTTTATTATTTTTGTTTTTCTCTCTCTTTATCATGATGTACCAAGAGGATAGTTGAAATGATTGATGAGGATTATTTTATTATTTTTGTTTTTTATTATTTTTGTTGTTTGTATTGGGATGTTGTTAAAGTTACGGGTTAATTGTTAAAGTTACGAGTTAATTATTAATGTTACGGGTCAATTGTTAAGGTTATGAATCCTCTCTCTCTCTCTTTCTTTTTTTATTAAAATATGATGAGGGTTATTTTATTATTTTTGTTTTTCTCTCTCTCTTTATCATGATGTACCAAGAGGATAGTTAAAATGATTGATGAGGATTATTTTATTATTTTTGTTTTTTATTATTTTGGTTGTTTGTATTGGGAGGTTGTTAAAGTTACGGGTTAATTGTTAAGGTTACGAGTTAATTGTTAATGTTATGGGTCAATTGTTAAGGTTATGAATCCTCTCTCTCTCTCTTTCTTTTTTTATTAAAATATGATGGGGATTATTTTATTATTTTTGTTTTCTCTCTCTCTTTATCAGGTTTAATTGTTAAGGTTACGGGTTTAATTATTATGGTTACGGTTTTAATTGTTAAGGTTACGGGTTTAATTGTTAAGGTTACGGGTTTAATTATTATGGTTACGGTTTTAATTGTTAAGGTTATGGATCCCTTCTCTCTCTCCCTCGTAACCTTAACAATTAAACTCGTAACCTTAACAATTAAACCGTAACATTAACAATTAAACCGGTAATCTTAACAATTAAACCGTAACCTTAACAATTAAACCGTAACCTTAACAATTAAACTGTGACCTTAACAATTAAACCCGTAACCTTAACAATTAAAACCGTAACCATAATAATTAAACCCGTAACCTTAACAATTAAACCCGTAGCCTTAACAATTAAACCGTAACCTTAACAATTAATAAACCGTAACCGTAACAATTAAACCTGTAACCTTAACAATTAAATACGTAACTTTAACAATTAAATCCGTAACCTTAACAATTAAATACGTAACCTTAACAATTAAACCCGTAACCTTAACAACAAATCCGTAACCTACACAACAAACCCATAACCTTAACAACAAACCCTTAACCTTAACAACCAACCCGTAACCTTAACAATCAATGCATAACCTTTACAACCAACCATTATCCTTAACAACGAATATTCTAAAAATACAAAAAGAATAAAAAACAAAAATAATAAAATAATAATCCTCTTTAATCATTTCAATATCATCAAAGAAACATCATGATAGAGAGAGAGAGAGAGAGAGAGAGAGAGAGAGAGAGGATTCATAACCTTAATTAACAATTAACTCGTAACCTTAACAATTAACCCGTAACTTTAACAATCTCCCAACACAAACAACCAAAATAATAAAAAACGAAAATAATAAAATAATCCTCATCAATCATTTCAACTATCCTCTTGGTACATCATGATAAAGAGAGAGAGAAAACAAAAAAAATAAAATAATCCTCATCATATTTTAATAAAAAAAGAAAGAGAGAGAGAGAGAGAGAGAGAGGATTCATAACCTTAACAACAAACCCTTAACCTTAACAACCAACCCGTAACCTTAACAATCAACCCGTAACTTTAACAACCTCCCAATACAAACAACCAAAATAATAAAAAACGAAAATAATAAAATAATCCTCATCAATCAAACTATCATCTTAGTACATTATGATAAAGAGAGAGAGAGAGAGAAAACAAAAATAATAAAATAATCCCCATCATATTTTAATAAAAAAAGAAAGAGAGAGAGAGAGAGGATTCATAACCTTAACAATTGACCCGTAACATTAACAATTAACTCGTAACCTTAACAATTAACCCGTAACTTTAACAACCTCCCAATACAAACAACGAAAATAATAAAAAACGAAAATAATAAAATAACCCCCATCAATCATTTCAACTATCCTCTTGGTACATCATGATAAAGAGAGAGAGAAAAACAAAAATAATAAAAAACCCTCATCATATTTTAATAGAAAAAGAAAGAGAGAGAGAAGGGTATTATGGTCTTCACATGTTTTATTGTCTTGGGTTTTGTGTTTTGGGGGCTCAGAGAACAGATTCTTTATTTTTAGGGGTAAAACGCTCATTGACCAAGTCTTGGAGGTGGGAAGCACGTTCACTTGATTTTTGAGGGCTAGAAGCATTTTTCCCTTGAATTTATTATCCTTGCAGCTCTATTACTACATATAGACCTCAGATGAACCCCCGTAAGTAAAAATCTATTGTTGCGAATAGACCCCATGAAAAGGGTCAAAAAATTTCACTTAAGGAGCCTATCTGCAATGGAACTAGTACAGGGGGCTATCCGCAATTAGCCCTATTTACA